TCCCCCCCTTTTTAAAGTAGGCTTTACACCCAACGTGGAGCCCAACATAGGGTTTGAATTCACAACCCTGAGATCAAGACCTGAGTTGAGATCAAGAGTCCGACTTTTAACCAACTGAGCCACCCAGGTGCCTCACTTCTGAGAGATTTTCTTGGCATTGTCTTCCAGATAACTGATTCTGTACTCAACTATGTTCATTTTGTTATTTAGCTAATCTATTCAGTTTTCAAATTTTTGATAATTTTAAGTTTGTTTTCATGTTGTTTGCTTTTTCATTTTTATAGATGTATCCTTTGGGGACATAATTTATTTTTGAAGTTGTTTTTATGGAGTTATCTGTTTTCTCTTGGATCTTTGTCTTTTCACATTGGATCTTCCTTTTGTGCTGTTGGCTTTCTTGAAAATGTGTCTTTAGCTTTAGTTGGATGAAGTAGTAAGGTGGTTAATATTGGTTATTGGCGTGGATTTTCCTTTGCAAGTGGCATAGTTCTGCTTCCCAGATGGTGGGAGGGCTGACTGTGTGAATGTTTGGTAAGCTCTGGGCAGGAACGCCAGCTCCTCTACCAGTGTCTAAATAAGGAGGGCTTTGTTTTGATGGGTGAGCTGTTTTACTCTTTGCAGTACCTTCCATTTCTTTCCCCATTATATCAGTTGTGGAGGGCAGGGGTACTGTACTTTCTTTGCTTTTTCCCTCAAGCCACAATATTCATACCAGGAGCCCTCCCCTGGACCCACTTATTTTTCATTTTTAAATCTTTACTTTTTTTTTTTTTTAAGCCGTATTTAAGAGATCTGTTCTTGTGCTTTGTCCTGGGGTCAGAATGGTAGTCTCCAGGCCCTACAGTATGCAAGGGGAGGGATCCAGGGGGTCGTTACTGGACCTTGCCGGTTTTAAATGCATGGTAATTGTCACATGGTTTACTCCTGGTTTTTGTGAATGTAAATCTCAAGTGGAGCTTTTCAGGAGCTCCCTTGAAAAGACCCAGTCTAAGGGCACCTGGGTGGCTCAGTTGGTTAAGCTGACAGCTCAGAGCCTGGAGACTGCTTCGGATTCCGTGTCTCCATCTCTCTCTCTGCCCCTCCCCTGCTCACACTCTTCTCTCTCTCAAAAATAAATAAACATGGGGCGCCTGGGTGGCGCAGTCGGTTAAGCATCCGACTTCAGCCAGGTCACGATCTCGCGGTCCGTGAGTTCGAGCCCCGCGTCAGGCTCTGGGCGGATGGCTCGGAGCCTGGAGCCTGTTTCCGATTCTGTGTCTCCCTCTCTCTCTGCCCCTCCCCCGTTCATGCTCTGTCTCTCTCTGTCCCAAAAATAAATAAAAAACGTTGAAAAAAAAATTAAAAAAAAAATAAATAAATAAATAAACATTAAAAAAATTTTTCTTTAATTAGAAAAGACCCAGTCTGTTTCACTGGTGATGTTTCAAGCTATGAATGTATTTCACTTTCTCTACCTGAACCCAACTGTTTTTGAATGGTTCTTAAAATTTAATGTTTTAAAGCATTTCTGATCCTTGACTCTCTCTTGTTTCTTAGTGCTCTTGTGATTTCATTTTAAAAGTGTTTCTGCATATCAGTAGGACTTTGGAAGATCCATCTTGTCATCATGAATTAGAAGCCAGTATTACTTTTATAATAGGAACAAAGAATATGGACAACTGGGGAGGTGTTTTGCAAGGTTGGGGTTGGACTAAATTAACAACTACTGTGGCCGGCTTAGAAGAGCCAGCGACTTCTGTTCTCATTTGGGAGACTAAGCTCTCTTTGCTTTCCAGTTTTGCATTTCTAGAGTTTAACCAGGACCAGGCACAGAGATCCACAGTTAATATTGAATGAATGATCAGAATGAGGGCATTTTTTTTCTACCATGGACTCATTTGTCACAATAATAGGTCCTTCTATTTCTGTAGTTCTTTTGCCTTTGGAAAGTATTGTTTCCCTTTTTATGAGGATTTGCTACTTCCTAACCTATGTCCCACTTGCTCAGCTAACTTTTTGCATTTTTACTTCTTATCATTGAACTATTTTACATATATCTTTACAGAGAGCTTTAATTTGGCACATCCCACTGAGTTACATTCTAGCACCCTGTTTGCTGAAAGAAAACTCAGAATCACAAATGAGCACATATAAAAAGGCATTTTAGCAAAGCTTGTATGCCAAAACCTGAAAGTTATAGAAGAGGCTTTTAGTCAGTCATGTGATTCTTACTGGCTCTTATATGGTTTGAAAGTCATATTTGTTTAGAAACACACTTCAAAAGGAGAGGATTGTAAGAGAAATCTAATGATAACTGAAGGAGATAATGCTCATATAGTTCAGTATAATACTTGAGGTTCATATCAATGACCCTTGTTAATTAGCAAGTAAAAAAAAAAAAAAGATTTGCTGCATCGTAGAGAGTAAAGAACATTTTCCGTTATTTGGACTTCCCTGAATGTGGCTCTGATCCCACCTCTGTCATTTCGGACTTTGCACGGTGTTCAGCCTTTTTGAGACTGGTTTCTCATTTTTGACCTCTTTGATCCCCACATCAGTCTTCTCTCTTCCCCTTGTGTTTATGTACACATTCTCTCCTGGGAATGACCTGACCGTCTCCTCCTTGACTGCTTATTTCCTTCACATCTTCACTCTGATGCTGCTTTCCTGAGGCAGTCATCCCTGACTCTAGATTAGATTATGTGCCCTGTTGGATACTCTTCTTCCCCCCCCCCCCGTTGAATACTCTTTACAGCACTTATCCCAGTTGGAATTTTGTGTTTACTGTATGATTGTTTATTTAGCAGTTTCTTTCAACAAATATTTATTGAGTGCTTAATAAATCTTCACTGGGATTCTAAGCTCTGTTAAGGCAGAATAATGACTGGGTCTGTGGGTTTTATTTCTGTTTGACTTGGTCATTGTGTTCCTAACATCTAACACAGTGGTTACACATAGGGAGTGAGTAGTTGTTGAATGAAGAAATCCACGTGCAGCATATAATACTGCCTGCCTTACTTTATAAGGCTGTCGTGAGCCTTCAAGATAATTATGTGTATGAAGTGCTTATTAGCTTGCTTGTGGCCTGGTGAGACAGTAACTCTGTTACTGAGAGGGAGTCAGTCTGCTGTGGCCATTGAGAATGGTTATTGTAGATGAAAGTACTCCTTTTTTTTTTTTTTAATTTTTTTTTTCAACGTTTATTTATTTTTGGGACAGAGAGAGACAGAGCATGAACGGGGGAGGGGCAGAGAGAGAGGGAGACACAGAATCGGAAACAGGCTCCAGGCTCCGAGCCATCAGCCCAGAGCCTGACGCTGGGCTCGAACGCATGGACCGCGAGATTGTGACCTGGCTGAAGTCGGACGCCTAACCGACTGCGCCACCCAGGCGCTCCTGAAAGTACTCCTTAATTCATGGTCTCTCACTTACTAGCTCTGTGACCGTGCATAGGTGCTTAGAATCTCTGATTTGCATTTCCTTTATCTATCTATAAATGGAAGTAAAATAATAATGACTATCTTACAGGGTTTTGTAAAGATTGCATGTGATCATGACATTGAAGCAGTTAGCTGACAGTAATTCTCAGTAGGTGGTGGTTATAGTATTGTTTATATGTTAATGGATGAGAAAACTAGTTTAAGGAATGTATAGAAAGTATCAAAATTCACATCTGTGGAAACACTACATCTTCTCTGATAAGATGGTAGCAGTAGATCTCAGATAAGATTATGGGATTAGCCCATAATCCTCAGAATATCCAATATTTTCTAATTATGTCTGTGAAGGGTTGTATTATGTTAGGTTCAATCTTGTTTTTTAAAAGGACTTTTGGGAGGATAAGGATTGTATACTCCTGAATAGATGAATTACATTAAGACCTAAACCCTATAAATTTTAAATGCCTTAGAATGCCCAGTGTGACTATGTGACTATGTATTAAAGTCACATCAGCAAGCGACATTATTGGAAATCAGCCTGGATTTTTGGACTGCTGAGTGTTCATGGGTAAGGTTTATGGATTTAGGAGACTATTCTGAATAGTAGTTCACAGTTCTTTCTGCCTAGAGTCATAAGCATCCCCTGTGTGGTGGATGCTTTGCCAGCCTTTTCCAACAGAAGCATATTGCCATGACGTACAAGTAAAAAGGATATATTATTACAGGAATAGCTTTCAGTGTTCTGTGATTTACAGATTTAAAAATTCATTTGGGCACATTTGAGTACTTCACACTATTTACAGGGACATGAGCCAAGCCACCATGTTATAGCCCTTGCTTCTCATTTTTATTTATTTATTTATTTATTTATTTATTTATTTATTTATTTATTTTGAGGGAGAGAGCAGGGGAGGGGTAGAGAGAGAGGGAGAGAGAGAAAATCCCAAGCAGGCTCCACACTGTCAGTGCAGAGTCTGACACAGGGCTCGAACTCATGAACCATGAGATCATGACCTGAGCCGAAACCAAGAGTTGGACGCTTCATCAACTGAGCCACCCAAGTGCCCCCCCCAACCTGCTTCTCATTTAAATTGTTTTACTTTCATCTTGGGCTACATGACCCTGACTTCTGACTTTCATCAGAAGGAGTGTGTTTTATATAATTGTTTGCATGCCTACAAACGTTTGTGGGGAGGGTGCGGGGGGACCTGGCTGGCTGAATCAGTGGAGCATGCAACTCTTGATCTCGGGTTGTGAATTCGAGTCCCACTTTGGGAGTTGAGATTACTAAAAAAACAAAAACAAAACTAAAAATGTGTGTGGAGAAAGATGCAAAACTTTCTAGTGATTAGTTGATATACCTTTTTTACAGGCTCAGCAAAACAGTCCCTCTTCTACGGGATCTGGCAACACAGAGCATTCCAGCAGCTCCCAGAAACAGATCTCCATCCAGCACAGACAGACCCAGGTAGGTTGGTGATCAATATACAGAGGAAAAGATGTGCTTAGGGATAAATGCTAACCACATATGATATCTTGGAGTCCTCTCTGTCTTTCCTTTATTTCTCCAACATTACCTCATTATTTGTGTGTATTATACTCAGAACTTGCATTTTAAAGTCTTTTGGAAGGTGCTTTAACTTTTTGAGGTGTCTCTTTACCATTCTGGTGTGTTGCAGTAGAAATGCCTACACTGTAGCATGGTGCTGGGGGGAAAGAGCACTTGTTTTGGAGAGCTAGGCTGGGGTTCAGATCCTCACTCTGCAACTTAACACTGTTATCTTTTTGGGCCTCAGTTTTTTTTTTAATAGAAATCATCTGTAAAATACGGTTGATTCTAGTTATCTCAGACAGTGTATACAAAATGCGTATTAGGACAGTGCTTACAGTACACCTCAGTGATTTTTCATTCCCTACTCTATGAAAGTAGTTGATTTATTCCTGTTTATTTGGCAAGAATAAAGCTAAAATTCTTAAACATGTGGCACACCAACACAATTTCCTCCGTAAAGAGTTTTTTAGAAACTTCTTAATTCAGGGAATGTTGGGAATATTCAAAGTTAGTATGTGAAAAGGATAGCGGATGCATCCTCCACTCTGTAGTTTTGATATAGCCAAATCGTATACTGCATTGTCTTTGAAGCCTCTTGGCATTGTGTCGCCTTTAAGACAAGATGCTTGGCAATCTAGGAGAATTTCTTAAATCTCAAGAGCTTTAGGAATAGATTTTTATTTTATCTGAATTACCAGCTTTTGGCCAGTTGGACGGACTTTAGATTCAGGTAAACTTCATTCTCTCCCCTTCTGATGTTCTTTATTTCCACTAGGTGGCATGTGTGTTCTTTAGACATTTGGGCCCTGTCTCCTCTGAAGTCCTTTTCTATTCAAAGTTAGTTTCATTTCTAGAGTAGTATGTTTCTGCGTTATTCAATGCACAACAGTTTGAGGATTCATATATTTGATACCAGAGGTAACGTGTATTTGAAGTGCATGTGTAATAAAATACAAGACCTAAAGAATGGGCTAAGGAAAGCATATTTAATTTCTTTAGCTATGTGATTGCAGACTATTTGTGTTAGCAGGTGTTTTGGTTTTTTTTTTCCCCCCAGAAAGGTAATGAGAAAAGTATGATAACATGTAATATTTTGAGACTAATCCTAAATTTGTTTTCTCTTTGTATAGTCTGACCTCACCATAGAAAAAATATCTGCACTAGAAAACAGTAAGAATTCTGACTTAGAAAAGAAGGAGGGAAGAATAGATGATTTGTTAAGAGTAAGTATTAAAATATGGTAAGAGATTTTATAAGAAGCACTGATTGATGTTATATATATTTGGATTATGTACATAGATCTACAATAATGTAGAGATCATTATTATTTCTAAATAACAAAGTTAAATACTAAACATTTGGATATTTTCCTTTAATCTGAGGTAATCTGAGTAGGAACGAGGATCAAACCTATGTTCTAAGCACTGTCTTTAAATTGGATATCTTATGCTGTAGAATTTTAATATTTAAATTTTTTTTTTTTTTTTAATTTTTTTTTTCAACGTTTATTTATTATTTTTGGGATAGAGAGAGACAGAGCATGAACGGGGGAGGGGCAGAGAGAGAGGGAGACACAGAATCGGAAACAGGCTCCAGGCTCTGAGCCATCAGCCCAGAGCCTGACGCGGGGCTCGAACTCACGGACCGCGAGATCGTGACCTGGCTGAAGTCGGACGCTTAACCGACTGCGCCACCCAGGCGCCCCTAAATTTTTTTTAATGTATGTTTATTTTTGAGACAGAGAGAGAGCATGAACGAGGGAGGGTCAGAGAGAGAGGGAGACACAGAATCTGAAGCAGGCTCCAGGCTCTGAGCTGTCAGCACAGAGCCCGACACGGGGCTCGAACTCATGGACTGTGAGATCATGACCTGAGCCGAAGTCGGCCGCTTAACTGACTGAGCCACCCAGGCGCCCCGAATTTTAATATTTAAGTATATACTAGAGAGATAGGTGGAGTATTCTGTTTCATCTAGAACTGTGGGAAATGATATAAAATACTGTTTTCCTGTTCCAGAGAAGTTTTTTAAATATTCTTGAACTTTTTAAAATATTTTATTATTTTAGAGAGAGAGAGAGTGGGGGAAGGAGCAGAGTGAGAAGAGAGAGAGGAAGAGGTAGAGTGAGAGAGAGAATCTTAGGCTCCACGCTCAGTGAGGACCCTGATGCAGGGCTCGACCCCACAACCCTGGGACCAGGACCTGAGCCGAAATCAAGAGTCAGACAGTCAGCCAACTGAGCCACCCAGGCACCCCAATATTCTTCAGTTTTTAAAACTATCTCACAAGTACTTTTCAGCCCTGGTTTTACATTTTGTGTCTTTTATAAGTATTTGTCTAAAGTTTTTTGTGCTTATAAGACAAACTTCAAAAATAATCTGGAATTGAAAAGATACTTCTAGAAAATATACCATGATATATATATATCTATATATATTTTAATGTTTTTCTATTTTTGAGAGGGAGAGCACAAGCAGGGGAGGAGCAGAGAGGGCGGGGGTGGTCAGAGGATCTGAAGCAGACTCTGGGCTGACAGCAGGGGGTTTGAATTTATAAACCATGAGATCATGACCTGAGCCAAGTCGGCCGCTTAACTGACTGAGCCATCCAGGTGCCCCTATCCCATGATGTCTTTAAGGATAGATTTTGTAATATGCAATTTATCATATTGACTGACACATTCTTAAAAAAACTTTTTGTTTTAAATAAAAGCAATATATGCTTTTTACAATAAATTTAGAGAATACTGAAAGATAGGATACCCATAATTCCATTAACTGGGTAAAACATTTGGCACATTTCCTTCAGTAATTTTTTTGAGCCATTTGTAGTGTGTGTGTGTGTGTGTGTGTGTGTGTGTGTGTGTGTATGTATATGCATATATAAATATTACTGATATATAAATAAAATTGACTAACATTTTTATCTTCTCCAGTGATTTATAAGGTATAGGTTTGATTCTTATTTGTACTAATGCAGTAGTTTTCCAACTGGCTCTATGGGGCCTTGAAGGTTCTGTGGAGGAACCTCCAGGGCTCCCATGACACAGCTGGGTGCGGATCTTGCAGTCTTTTTTACTGGGTAAGACTGTCTGAAGGAAGGGTTTTGTTTATTAACAATAATAATAATGTTTAATAATAAAAATAAGAGCCACTGTATTTGTAATTTTCTCCCTCCAAAAATTTTTACCTATATTTCTGTAATTATTGAAATATAGTATTAGTTTATTTGACTCCCTCCTGTATAAAACCTGGAATTTAGCACATATCTAAACCATAAACCTGGTCGTAATGAGTAAAATCTGATGTTTTTAGGCTATTCTTATTAAATTATTACTTTTAATATCATATATAAGAATAATTCTTATATGAAAAGCAGTTTTATGACCTAATTTACAATAATTAGTTACACGTGTTTGTTAAACTCATTGGTAGTATATATTTAAATTTTTTTTATTTTTTAAACAATTTTTTATTTTTTTATTGTTTTTTAATTTTTAGAGAGAAAGTACATGTGATTTGGGGAGGGGCAGAGGGCAAGGGAGAGAGAGAATCTTTTTTTTTTACATGTTTATTGATTTGAGAGATAGAGAGCGGGAGAGGGGCAGAGAGAGACAGAGACACGGAATCTGAAGTGAAGCGGGCCCCGACCTATCAGCGGAGAGCCCAACGTGGGGTTAGAACTCATGAACTGCAAGATCACGACCTGAGCTGAAGTCAGACAGTTAACTGACTGAGCCACCCAGGCGCCCCTTGGGAGAGAGAGAATCTTAAGCAGGCTCCATGCCCAGTGCAGAGCCCAGCACTGGATTTGATCTCATGACTGTGAGATTGCGACTTGAGCTGAAATCAAGAACTTAACCACCTGAATCTCCCAGGCGCCCCAACTGAAATACATTTTAAGTAATTACTTTTCAAGAAGGATGTATTAGTGTTAAGTTTTTTTGTTTCCTTGTAGATCTGAGAACTCTTTCTTTTGCCTCTCCATATAAAAGGTATTTTTGTGTTACAACCTATTAGCCTTCACCTCTTACCTTCTTGTAACACGCATACACGTGTGAACCTTTGCAATTTTTGTAGCATTCAATTTTTCTGAGAAGACCATGACCAAAGGAACAAACACTGCACTGTAATCTGTTTTTTGTGATGAGTGTAGGTACTCTCCCCCCTTATTCTTAGATTTCAAGAAATTTTGCCAGGGTACTTCTGTATACATGGGTCTCTAAATTCTTATTCTGGAAATGTGTGGTTATGCTTACTTTTTGCCTCTTTCTGTCTTGTGTTGGCTTCTTCCTTGGTTTCTAGGCTGGATCCCTGATTTCTCCCCTTTATTTCTATCACTTGGAGTCTTATTTAATATGATCAACCTTCTTTTCTGAATCTTACTAAAATGTTAATTTGTGTTCCATATATTTTCTGCTGTTTACTGTATCTTATGTAATTTTGATTCTGTTATTTACATTTGAACTTACTTTTTTTCCCTTATCTAACTCACTTTCTTATTCCATCCTGTACATTCTTGATGGTTTTTTGCTCTGATTTCATAGACATCATGTCTTTTTGTGTTTTATGGACTATGACAAGCAGTATTCTAAAATGTTCTTTTCATTCTTTAGGGAGATCATTTTCATCATTCTCAAGCTGATGTTCTTTTTCCTTATTCAGAAGTAGTTTTCCTTGGGTCTGATTTTTGGTTGTTTCCTTTTCTCCATCTTTTGATTTGGAGAGGCATATTTAGAGTCAGTACCTATCTTCCATCTTTTATTGTTAGCATATGTGCTTGCTTGGGGTTGCTCTTAACTCCTCTTTTTGTTCATGTGGGTGCTGGTTGTATTGCCAAGGTTTTAATTAGCTAGATTGTGGGTTTAGAAAGCTCCTAGCCCAGTTCTAGTACCGGTAGGCTTTTCTCCCGAGAATCTCTGCTGGATTGAAAAAGGAGCATGGGTTCATCTTTCTTCATCACCCAACTCTTTCAGAAAAGATTGAGGAGTTTATGAAAAACTTAGCACTGACTTAGCACTGTTTTTGAGTTAAAAAAAATGCTTTCGTTTTCTAGAAAGTAGTATGCTCCCTTTACTCACCATTGCCCACCTTCTACTACCTTGTTTTCTAAAGGTTGTAGTCTTCTTTGGCTGTAGAACAATACCAAAGGAATGGATACATCAAAAAGGAAGACACTGATGGCAGCTGCCATTTTTCTCAAATTGATTAAATTCTGTGTTTTGGATCAGGCAGGATGGGCAATGAGCACTCCTCATGTCTCCTTTTAGGCAGGCATGGGTGGTTCATTGGGTTTTTCCATTTTAGTGAAATGTTGGATAAGGCGACATCAGGAACTGATAGGCAGGTGCTGTTGTAAACCTGAACACAAATTGTTAATGCTAGAAAACCACAAAAATTTAGAGTTCTTAAAATTATTTACTTAGTTATTTGTTTATTTTTAAAGAAAGCTCTCCACCCAGTGTGGGGCTTGAACTCTTGGCCCTGAGATCAAGAGTTGTCACATGTTCTACTGACTGAGCCAGTCAGGCGCCTGTCGAGTTCTTAAGATTTTAAATAAGCTGCCAGAGATTGATTGGTTCCATACATTTGATTATAGATTTTTAAGGGAGTGTTTACCTTCCAAAAAAAGATTGAATTTCATATAAACATTACATAGTCTTTGTCTTAAAGATTCTTTTTTTTTTTTTTTCCCTCCAAGATTTTATTTTTAAGTAATCTCTACACCCAACGTGGGGCTTTAATTCACAACCCTGAGATCAGGAGTCGCAGTCTCTACTGACTGAACCAGCCAGGCGCACCATGGATTCTTTATTATGAATTAGTTACATTTCCCCAAATGTACTTACACTTTGCCTTTGATAGAGTGGTACATAGAACTCTGTACAAAAAACAGGTAGAAATTAAACTTATGAGAAGAGTAGAAATTTGGAGATGGAAGCTGTTGTACACTGGTCACTTTAAAAACGAAGCTGAAAAGTCTCTAAAATTGCATGTGCTGTAACATCTTCCATTTGTGCTTTTTACTGTTTCAGAAACACTTATATCATTTGATTGGGAAATACCAGATTTTTTTTCACAACTCAAGCACATTATTATAAAGTAGCGTTTATTTGTTGAAAGAGTAGAGGTCTTCTGTTAATACAAGAATAAATTTAAGAATCGCAGGGCAAAATTGACCTTGGGTTAGTGGTTCTTCCCTTCTCTGTTATTGTAGGAGGTTTGAATTTTCAAAGTATTTAGCCCATCCTTCTGACCACAGCTAAATTAACTATGTATTTACATTCTGGCATTCTTGAGAACCGGGACCTTATATTCATCCCGTTTGTTAGTTCTGTCTTATGCGGGCATGGGTGTGCCTGGCTTCTCTGGAAAGAAACACTTATGTAAATTCATGTCTCTTTTTCTTTGGAAACAAGAATAGAAAAACAAAGAACAATCAATCCTGAGAACGTTATGTGGTTTAAAAAAAAAATTCTGCAGTTTTTTTTTTGTGTTTAATTACCCTTTGAAAGTATTCTGTGAGTGCTGTAGAGTGCTTAATCAACTTTTGTATGTATTTTAAACATCTCCCTAATTGTAGGTTTTTTATTTTGTGACAGTTTAGGTATATGTGATGTACTAGATTTACCTATAACTGCTTTTTGAGAGGAGTGAAATACGATCAGTAGAAAAACATGCCCACTTGTAACAGAATTCATCTTTACTAAAAAGATAAGTTTATTAAGAGAGAAAAAAAGGAAGGAAATATTATAAAAAATTGTAAACATAATTAATCTTAGCTCTTTGGACTTTAATTTTGCTTTTGATTAACAATAGAAATACTGTTTGGACTCCCTAGAAACTGCTTTTGTATTCCTCTATCTTCCTTGGAGCTAATATAAAAAATATTTTCCATTGAAGGCCAACTGTGATTTGAGGCGGCAGATTGACGAACAGCAAAAGATGCTAGAGAAGTATAAAGAACGATTAAATCGGTGTGTGACAATGAGCAAGAAACTCCTTATAGAAAAGGTGAGTGATTAACGGTGGCCTGACCCCTGCTCCCAAGATCCTCAGGGTATCATTTTGTGCCTCCTTATTCCTTACCTGAGATGGAAGTATTTTAAAGTTGGGCTTTTTAGGGAAAGACTTTTTTTTTTAATGTTTGTTTGTTTGTTTATTTTTGGAGAGAGAGCATGAGCAGGGGAGGGGCGGAGAGAGAGAATCCCAGGCTGTCAGCGCGGAGCCAGATGCAGGGCTTAAACCCACAAGTCGTGAGGTGATGACCTGAGTTGAGACCGGGAGTCGGATGCTTAACTGACTGAGCCACCCAGGCACCCCTTTAGGAAAAGACTCCTTATAATTTGACAGTTAGAATTCTTTCTTCCATGGACACAGCAGCAAACATCCAGAGTGATAATATGGGACATCGTTTCTGGTTGTGCTTTGCTCTGAGTGTGATGTTGATCGGACAGGGACAGCTTGTCCTGGTTTGTTTGCGGTGTGGCGCTCCTTGGTTCTTACACTCATCCTGACCTTTGAAGTACATACCCTAGAACTCTTACAAACATTTAGCAGTACTTAACATTTCCATTTTAGAGATGATATTTGAAGTAACTTATGTATATAAAAATGTGATAATTAAGTGCTTTGTGCTTTAAAAAATTAAGTCAGCCTATACTTATGTATGGCCGATGTTTCCTTTATTATAGTAATTGATTAGTTGTGACTTGATGTTAATAGTTGTTAGTAACTGTTTCTTGAAAGTTTTTTAATATGTCCCCAACACACACTTATCTTATATTGAAAGATAGCAGTACTTGCTAATGAAATTATTACAAGCTAGAGGTTTGAGAGACTGGTGGTTACTTTTGCTGAAATCTTTGGAATGCTGTTAAAAAGACAGGGAACGCTGATAGTAGGTCATTTTATTAATGTCAGAGATAGGAGAACTTTGTTTCAGCTTTTAATTCATTAATTTTATGGAAAAGAAACTGCTTTTTTCCATTTTTATTTTTGAAATAAGACGGTATATGTTAATGCAGAGAATTTAAAGTTTTAAGGTACTTCCCAGAGTCCATGTAGAATCAGCCAGTTGTACTAAATGTTGATCAGTACAGTACAGAAAGTAAACATCATGCTATATCTGAATTCTCATAGGAGAATAAAATTATTTTCTATTTGTCCTTTCTCCTAAGTCAAAACAAGAGAAGATGGCATGTAGAGATAAAAGCATGCAAGACCGCTTGAGATTGGGCCATTTTACCACTGTTCGACATGGGGCCTCTTTTACTGAGCAATGGACAGATGGTTATGCTTTCCAGAACCTTATCAAGTAAGTGAAGTGCGATGATCACATTGAAATTGAAAAGTTGCTTTAAGTTTGCTGTAATTGTAGTAATTAAAAATCCTAGTAGTAGAAGTCCTCTTTTCATTCAGCTTTAGTCCCCATATGTGTAATGAAAGGTAGGGAATGAGGTGAAGTCCTGGAAAAAATGACGCAAGTTATTAGAGAAAAAATAAAGGAGTTCTACATTAAAGCTTAACGAAGAATAAGAATTGCTGAAGCTAAGGAAGAAAAATCCTAGGACTTGTTATCTTTTAAATTATGTAATGGATTTTCACGAGGAGTCCATGAACGTATTTGTTCTGGCTCCATAGAAAAATGACATAGGTAAGGACCTGAGGAAGAACATCCTGAGTTAGGTATAAAACAATAAAAACCCTAGGCAAACCTTTAGGATCTGTCCCTGAGGCCCTTTAAGGAGACCGTGTCTAGACCTTGGAGAGAGCGGCTACCTCAAAGGCAGGGGCTGAACCAGTGGTCAGGCTGGTAGCCAACCCCAGTGTCTGTCAGTGACTTGGACTCCTAAGCACTCAACATTCAAGTATTTACTCCAAGGAGGGAATTACCATTTAAAATCCTAAAATTCCAACTGTGTAAATAGCTAATATTGGCTCTGGACTTAAGTAAATCTTTAGATTATCGTGTATTTTGGTATATCTTATTTATTTTTATTAGATTATTTCCATCTGAGACTGGGGAGAATGGCATTGTGTTTTTAATCATGGGCTCTCAAACTTGAGATCTGTAGCTCACTATGAATTAGAGGATTCTATAGACTGCTTTTCCTGCCTTTTTTCCTAGCTGAAATAACTTCCTGCGCAGTAATTGGAGAGTGTGGGACTCCTTTAATAGTAAGGAAACATAAGAAACAACAAATATATGCCTGAAATAAAGTATAATACTAACCTGGATTGCACATTAGTAGTCACTGCTTTATATGTGATACATTACCCTCCCCTTGGCTTAGATATGTTTTTGCCTCACACATGTACCTTGAGTATGTGTAATTTGGTGTGATAAGAGGCTAGCTGTTGAGTCAAAGATACAATACCCACGAAGGAAAACAAAGCCTTTTGAGTTAAGTCAGGTGCCAGAGGCTCAGAATGACATCCACTCCGAGCACTAAGCATGGGTGACTGGTGATAGCAGGAACGCACCAGGGCACTATAATAGTGGCCACTACATGGAGTCATGGTACCCACCCATTCCTTAACACCCTGACCAGGACGTGCACATTGTCCTGCAAGTGACACCCCATCCAGTTTCATTAGAGTGCGATCTGAAGATATAACTTATATCCCCAGTACTGGCCATAGCCACCTCATGCTCAGACTGAGTCCCAGATGTGATAGTGACCCTACAAGTCTTTGACAATGGTTACTTCTTAGATGGCTGTCTTTAAAATATCTGAAGACTTTGACTGAAGATAGTGTGTTTGTATAGAGATGTAAAATGTAATTACTTTTAAGAAAAATGTTCATAGTTTTTGCTGACAGCGATATTTTATCTTTTTACTCTGTAAGCAGCCCCCGAGTCCCAGAAGGTTCTGGAAATCTTACACAGAGTACAAAATGATGACTTAGCTGTAGAGCCATCAGAGAAATTGGGACTATCTAAATGAGATCCCTAACTAGGATTGTTCCTCCTAGGTGGATAGCATTTTTTCATGCTTTTATGTCATATAAAATATCTCCATCTCTTTTGGGAAGCTGTCTGGCCAGTGTCTACTAATTACAGGTATTTTATTTTCTAAAGTTTTGCTTTAATAAATTAATTCCCTTTCAGTTTTAATGCAGCAGTTGAAATTCTTCAGTTGTAAAGGCTATGTTTGATATCCTTATAAATGATTATTTTCTGTATATGAGAAACTCCATGACAACATAATTTGTGGGTGACGTGGCTGAACACCAGGTAGCAGTACTAGGTTTTACGAGAAGAGACCATCCTCAAAACATTTAAAAATTTAATCAGATAATCAAGTACAGTCTCAGCAGGACCTCCAGTGCAATTCTTTTGTTTTCACTGTGTTCCTCTGCTCTTTTCAAGTGATCTTTATTCCCTAACACCGAAGATTTACCAGCTAATAAGAAAATCATATCAAATTTATATTATTTTTTGTCCAGGTTAGCAATTTTTCCTTTCCAAAGTATGTTTGAACCTGTTGAAGAAGTAGTTTATTTTATAGTTTTGAGAAAGTAGTTCTGTTACATACTATTGTTATTCAGTATACTCTTTCTTATTTGAATAAATCTTAAAATCTCAGTCAATGGCAAGGCAATAAAAAATTTGTTTTTGATGGGGGGGGCATGGTTTTAATGTTTTTTATTGAAGTGATCTAAATTTCACCGTTAAATATTGAGCCTAAGTATATGCTTGTCCTTAGGTCAAGATTTCTGAAATGCAGAGCTCGAACAGATCACTTGAAGGATGTAGAATATATTAGATAATTAGAGAATCTCGGGGGAGTGGTAAATTCTCTCAAACATTTATGCATTTAGTGACACAGATAAACTGTAGGAAGAGCATGATGTGTAAAAGTTTGGATTGGAATTGGAGGAAAACCCATTTAGGACAGAAGGGAGGTCCTTGTTGCTGAGAAGAATCTCCCCTTGACTTCAGACAAACTAAAAGACTTTTGTCAGTTTACAAAAACCACTGAACTGCACAAAATCCCCATTAGGCAGGAGAAACAGTATCAACAGGATAGATGAAGGATTTGGGTTGTGGGAGTTGGCAGGTCTGCAGAGAGAGCAAGGGTGGCTGGGCTGGAGGTCAGAAACACAGCTGGAGGCTGCCACTCAAGTCCAGCAGCTATAGATTAGAAGAGCGGGCTGGAAAGTCTGGATGCAGCGTGGTTGGTGCATTTCTCAAAAGGCTTTGCTTTCCAGTTAAGTTCCTAGGATGTTTTCCTCAAAGAGGGAAAAAATTCTTTACTAAGATTTTGTTTAGGAGCGCCTGGGTGGCTCAGTCAGTGAAGCATCCGACTCTTGATTTTGTCTAAGGTCACGATCCCATGATTTGTGAGATAGAACCCTGTATGGGACTCCAGGCCGTTAGCGCAGTGCCTGCTTGGGATTCTCATTCTCCTTTCTCTCTCTCCCCCCCACCCCATCTCTCTCAAAATAAATAAATAAACCTTAAAAAAAAAAAAAAAAAGATTTTGTTTCGGGGCACCTGGCTGGCTCAGTCCATAGAGCATGTGACTCTTGATTTCCTGGTCATGAGCCCCACATTAGGTGTAGAGGATAGATAGATAGATAGATAGATAGATAGATAGATAGATAGATAGATAGATAAAGTTTTTTTATATTGAAATGAAACAACATTGAAGTAATGGGATTTGATTTATAAACAAAATTGTGGTCATTTAAGAAGTGGATTATCAGCATGAGTAAATTAAACATTATAGCATCATAATGATACTCCAGGTATTTATTCTGGTGTATAAGGAATTATAGAATCCCATTTTTATTTTATTTTATTCTTTAAAAAATTTTTTAAGTTTATTAATTTTGAGATAGAGTGAGTGGGTGGGGGAGGGGCAGAGAGGGAGAATCTCAAACAGGCTCTATGCCGCCAGCGGAGAGCCTCATGGTGGGGGGTTCGAACCCACGAAACGGTGAGATTGTGAGATCGTGACTTGAGCTGAGATCAAAAGTCAGATTCTCAACCAACTGAGCCACCCAAGTGCCCCTAGAATCCCATTTTAAAGTGATCTTGTGAACCATCTGATTCTTGGTTACATGATCCATAATGAAAAACTCTCTTGATTCTGTAAGTGTCAAGATCTCCCTTGGGTATCCATACTGTTTCACAGTAGATACAGAACATGAAGTTGTGGGAATCTTTAAAAATTCTTACCTGGGCTTTTCAGGAGCTACCTGTAGATCATTGCTAAATTATTTTTGGTTAAAGTGATATCTGAAAATACGTTTGTTTTTTAATACCTCCTACTAGTATGTATGTATGGTGGGTTGGAGTCAGGAATACAGTGTTACTGTTGAGAGCGCCTGTCATTCATTTCCTAGGGCTGTTGTAACAAAAATACCATAAACCAGGTGGGTTAAACAACATAAATTTACTCTCTCATAGTTCAGGACACCAGAAATCCAAAACCAAGATGTTGACAGACCATGCTTCCTCTGAAGCCCCTAGGGGAGGATCGTTCTTTGATGTTCTGTGGCTTGTGGCAGCATAGCTTCAGTCTCTGCCTCCATCTTCACACAGTGTCCCCCCCCCCCCATGTGTCTCTGCCTTCTCTCCCTTTATAAGGACATCAGTCATATTGAATTAAGGGCCCACCCTACTCTAGTATGACCTCATTTTAAGTAAGGACATTTGATGACCCTATCTCCTAAGGTTATAATCTGAAGTTCTGGGAGTTAGAACTTTTAACATACCTTTTTAGGTGACCTACCTCAGCCTGTAACGATACCTAAGGCAAATTGTCTTGTTTTCTTGTAGAGGCAGTGGCTTTTTAAATAGGATTATTTAGATTTGAGTGAGATGGATTTATCAAATCATCAATACTTGTGTAAAAGATAGTAGTAGTAGTGGTAGTAGTACTCTTTCCATGGGTGGTAAATGGCAAGCATTCTCTAAAACTGATGCAATGCAAGAAATATCTAAGGATCAGTTCTAAAAGGCAGTGTCAGATGTGTTGGAGATACAAGGCTTGATAAGGCACGGTCCTTTTCTAAGAGAAGTTTCCAAGTTTACTGATATAACTCCAGATTCTACTCCCAAAATAAACCTAAATTAAGTATCACTGATGGTCTATCTTTAGATGACTTTTATTTGTCAGTATAATTAGCTAAATCATTTCAAAAATATCAAGAATTAACGTAGGAATTGTTATATATAATCGTGAACTCTGGTGCATCCATTTTTGTGTTCAAGCAAGCGCTCTTGTTCTTAGTATATACGGTTTAATATTTCCCCAGAGGTGTTTTGGCATCATCGCACCCTGTGTTTATGCTTTAATATGTATGATGACTGTGGGGCCCCTTTCTTTATGAATCTCTGGAGATCAAGTTTTTGGATTCTTACTAGAAACCATAGAAAATTAGTTGTATGTTTGATAAGGGTGATTGCTAAAAATCTGTCTTCCAAAGCAGCCAGTCTTCAAAGATAAAATGTTGTGGTACTTCACTAGCCCCACTATAGTTTATAGTTTAAACTAAATATTTATGGTTATCTCCAGAGAGTTTATTGTGCCTTGCATTCATGGTCCATGAAAGGATAAAAAGGAGCTAAAGATACTTTACCATTTTTTTTTAAATTGGGAAACTCCTCTTGAGAGACAGTTCAGAGACCATGCTATCTCATTGAGTCAAAAGGAGGGTTTTGATTTTACCTAAGGATTCTATGTCTCAATCCAGAATTCTTTCAAGCCATGAAGGATTCATACTACATATTCTTTGGTGGGGAGACATATCTCTAACGATAGTTGAAAGGGTTTTTCAGATAAGAAAACTCTTTTACATTGACATCCAATCAATGACCCAGCTCATCCTAAAGCCAAGGGAATTGTATTATGAGATGAATGGTTATTTATTTAGAGTGTTTGGACTAGGTTAATCTTGCTTACATTATTGTCCTTATAGATAACGGCAGCATAAATTGTATAATGGGCATCTGCCCTGGAATATAGGCTTGTTTTTCTGGTTGCCATTCTTCTAAAGAAAATAACACTGAGTATAGGGAAAGTCTAGAGACTGACTTACTACAGTGTTCAGGAAAGAGAGTTCAATAGATTTCATTTGAAAATGGGTTAAAAACTTAGATTCTCTTACTTTGCAAAAATGAAGGTGGAATCAAGCAAAGGAGGTAGGGGAAAGCATGGTAGAAGAAAGAGAAGGGAGCTAGCATTTGATTCTCAACTAGGGTTGGTGATTTATAGATTTTAGTCTTTTGAATGGTTAATCTGAAATCTTGGTATATTTTTAATATGCCAGGTCTCCAAACTTTAATATCTATTAGACATATACAAGAGAAAGTAGTTTTCATATATTGGTATTTTTATTGGCTACTAATGTGCAAATAGGTTTATTATAGGAAATTCAGACTTCTTTAGGAAATCCTCTAACGGTAATGGTGTTAGATATCTGAAGAATCTTTTTTTTTAATTGTTTTTTAAACATTTATTTATTATTGAGAGACAGAGAGACAGAGCATGAACATGGGAGGGGCAGAGAGAGGGGGAGACACAGAATCCGAAGCAGGCTCCAGGCTCTGAGCTGTCAGCACAGAGCCTGAGGCGGGGCTCGAGCTCACAAACCGCGAGATCATGACCTGAGCCAAAGTCAGACACTTAACCTACTGAGCCACCCAGGCGCCCCGATACCTGAAGAATCTTTATGTATATTTTTTATGAATTCATTTTACGTCCTATTCCCTAAGGAGTTTTTTACTAGCTGCAAGGCTTCATTGTGGTTTCTCTGAATGTACTTGATTTTTAAAAACTTAGTTTAGGTTTGACCATATCAGTGAGTGGGAATGACTATGGGGGCGGTAATGGCTCACCTAGAGTTAGAATAAATGATAGATCTAAAAGCAAAATCTTTTTTTTACTTTGTTCAGCATCCCTCATATTAGCTAACTTTTTAGATATAATTTGAGGAAACTTTAATTCAAATAAAAAAAATAAAAAGGCCCTTGGGACCTTTTGTAATATTTTTCTTACATAAATACGGTTTTTTAATGGAGCCATACCAAGAGTTGTTTTCTTTTTAAAACAAAAAAAATTTTTTTTATGTTTATTCATTTTTGAAAGAAAGTGCGAGCAGGGGAGGGACAGAGAGAGAGGGAGACACAGAATCCGAAGCAGGCGCCAGGCTCCGAGCTGTCAGCACAGAGCCTTGACGGGTTCAAACTCGGGGACCGTGAGGTCATGACCTTAGCCGAAGCGGACGCTCAACAAACTGGCGCCCCAAGAGTTCTTGTTAAATTGATACCACCCAGGCGCCCTGAGAGTTATTTTCTTAACTGTTAAAAAGGAATCAGAAAATTCTTTCTTGAGTCAGAAAATAAGGTCGCAGTGGAAATTTGATATTGTTCCTGCCTACTTTTCCTGTTCGGAGAATAATCATAACTACGGTCTTAAAGCACAGACTCATTCCAAAAAAAATCTTTCTATCATCAGTTATTTGGCTTTTCTAACCTGAAGTTATAATCAGATTTCTACTTGATTTAAAGGGGCTTACTTTTTCTCAAGTCTATCAAATATATAGGTGCCAAGATATTTGTGTTTACTCTCCAGCCACGTTACAGTGTTTTGACCTTCTTCTCTGTGCAACATCTTTTATATCTGTAGGCAGCAGGAAAGGATAAATTCACAGAGGGAAGAGATAGAAAGACAACGGAAAATGTTAGCAAAGCGGAAACCCCCTGCCATGGGACAGGCCCCTCCGGCAACCAATGAGCAGAAACAGCGGAAAAGCAAGACCAACGGAGCTGAAAATGAAACGTATGTTCTTTATTAATGTGAACTCTGTGAGATACCACAGTCTTCCCCAAAATACAAATGCCCTGTGGAGTGCCACTGGAAAAAAGGATAAATTACGGGGATTTCTAGGGCGTAAGCTTTCTTTTTAGTTACGTTGGTGAATTTGCTCACAACTTCTATAAAAACCACGTAAAATTCATTCATTTTCTTAGTCCTCATCTTATTTGGGTATTTTCTTTCTTTTTTGTTGGGGGGTGGTTGGGTGTATTTTGGGGTTTGTTTTCAGTTTTATTTAGATACAACTGACATATAACATTGTATCAGTTTTGGGTGTACAACGTAATGATTAGATATGTGTAGATATTATAAAATGATTCCCATAATAAGTTTAGTTAACATCCATCACCTCACAAAGTTACAATTTTTTTTCTTATGAGAATTTTATGATCTACTCTCAGCACCTTTCACATATACAATACAGTATTATTAACTTTAGACGCCATGCTATGTATATGTATATCACAGTTTCTTTATCCATTTATCCATTGGTGGACACTTAGGGGTTTTTTTCATGTCTTAACTGTTGTGAATAATACTGCAGTGAAGATGGGGGTGCATAGGTCTTTTTGAGAGAGTGATTTCATTTCCTTTGGATAAATATCCGGAGGTGAAATTGCTAAGTCATAGGATAGTTCTATTTTTAATTTTTTGAAGAACTGCCGTGCTGTTTTTCATAACGGATGCACCAATTTACATTCCTGCCAGCACTGCACAAGAGTTCCCTTTTCTCTACATCCTCACCACCACTTGTTATTTCTTCTCTTTTTAATTATTATTTAGGTATTTTCAAGTGAGCGGGACAAATAAGGTCACTTGACGTCATGGTCTTCGGCCACTCTCACAACAAATGTGGTATCAGCATGGTGGTCAAATGATAGAGTTGTTTATGTGTGGTTCTGGGTTATGGTACATTGGCATCATCTTAGGGGGATTACCTGGCTGTTCTTTTGAGGTAAAAAACGTCTAGCTGGAGAATGCTCTTAACTGGTCTAAAGAGCATTTGGTTAACAGTCACAGAAACTGTAGGAGCAAGCTGAGAAAAAAATAGGTATTATTTTAGGAAAAAGATATTTTGCCACTAAGCCAAATCTTGACATCACCAGTATTTTTTCCTGTTCTGTGGACCTGTGGGAAACACCAATATCTTCGGTTGCAGTGTAGTCACATAGCTGCCATGAATAGGAGGGATAGCATAGCCTTAGTATAGATGCTTTCTTTTTTCACCCCTGCCCTGTGTCAGATTTCCCTAATCATCACATTCTTTTTTTCTTTAGTTTTTTTTTAATGTTTAATTTTGAAAGAGAGAGACCAAGTGTGAGCGGGGGAGGGGCAGCGAGAGAGGGAGACACAGAATCTGAAGCAGGCTCCAGGCTCTGAGCTGTCAGCACAGAGCCTGACGGGGGCTCAAAGCCATGAACCGTGAGATCGTGACCTGAGCCAAAGTCAGATGCTTAACTGACTCAGCCACCCGGGCGCCCCTGGTCATCCCATTTTGACCACTAAGAGAATCTTCGTCTAGGGCAGGAGTTGACAGGCTTTTTCTATACTGGGCCATGGTAAATACTTTTAGGCTTTGTAGGCAGGCTGGTCTCTATTGCATCTACTCTGCACTGCTGACTGTTGTAGCCTGTTGTAGTACGTAAATGAATGGGTGTGGCTATGTTCCAATAAGACTTGATTTACAAAAACAGACTGTGAGGTGAATGGTCCATGGGTCAACTAAGCAGGAACTGCCAAACAGAATTGACATGGGAAATAAAACCTATATATTGTTTACCTATTTAAAATATTTCTTATACGTACTTAATATGAAGACATTCAAGTCATGGCCTCTGTCTTCAAGAAGATTTCACATAAAAAAGGGAAAAAAGAGGGGCGCCTGGGTGGCTCAGTCTGTTGAGCGTCCGACTTCAGGCCAGGTCATGATCTTGCGGTTTGTGGGTTTGGACCCCATGTTGGGCTCTGTGCTGACAGCTCGGAATGGAGCCTGCTTCGGATTCTGTGTGTGTGTCTCTCTCTCTCAAAAATAAATAAACATTGGGGTGCTTGGGTGGCTTAGTCAGTTGAGCATCCTACTTCGGCTCTGGTCATGATCTCATGGTTCCTGGGTTGGAGCCTTGCGTCGGGCTCTGTGCTGACAGCTCAGAGCCTGGAGCCTGCCTCAGATTTTGTGTCCCCCTCTCTCTCCGCCCCACCCCTGCTTGTGCTTTGTCTCTCTTTGTCTTTCAAAAATGAATAAACATAAAAATTAAAAAAATAATAATAAATAAACATTAAAAATTAAAAAAAAAAGGCAGGGGGAAAGATCTATAGATAGTAGTGTAAGCAATCACTGAAGAATTGATGGTAGCCATGAAGCTCATTCCTGAATTGGATGTTTGAAATTTAAAGTACATTTTTCATAAAAACAGTAACCAGTATTGTAATCTGTATATCTGTAGTGGCTTCATTGGTTTTTCAAGGGAAAAAGAAATTTTGCAAAGCTGTCATTGTGGGAGTCTTTGGCTGAAAATAGGTTTTAGGTCTAAAGATAGACACAAAAGATAATGATATTGTATAATTTATTGAAGAATATGTCTTTTTCCTTTATGTTTTCGTCTCAGTTCTCAAAAAAATTAACCTCCAATCCACCAAATATAATAGTGTGTGTACTGCACTATTGTTTAAGGTCCATGACATCCCATTCCAGTGAGAAAGATGGCTTAATACCATTCCTTACTCCATACATACTTGGTGTTTTGGGGAGCCTTTTCCTGGACATTCATTTAGTAAGTTTATGGTAAATGCATATTGTACAATTGGCCTTGGTCTGGACACTAGGGATACAGAGCTAAAGGATACAGCCCTAGCCTTAGGAGCTTACAGTTTATTTAGGGGAAATGAACAGGTAAATAAACTAATGATTTCATTGAGGATAGTGATAATAGTATACACAGTGAATAAACTTGGAAAACATCTTCATTCTTATAACTAAATATTTCACTAAATATTTTAAAACTAGATTTTAAATTTAAAATATTTTCTTTCAGAAAGTCCAAGTAGGAACCCAGATTTGGAAGATTCTCTGGGCAAATGTTGTACACATCAGTCTGATCATTGTCTTCTTTGTGACCACTCCCAGGTTTATTTTGTGAAGAGACTGTCCCTACAGTATTACTTGAAAATTATTTAATGCTAATGCATAAGACTATTGGCTTAGTAGTAATAAAGAAGGCATAGGCTGTTTCCTTGCCATAGAACAATAACTAGAACTCAGTCTAGGCCAGTAGTGTGTCAGTAAGCAGTTGCCATCTGGAGTCCTGTGTAAAATCCAAGCTGGAAGGCCTTTAGTCCAGTTTTTAATTAAAGTATCTGTAACTTGGCTCATTCATTTGGCCAGAAGCCAAAAACAGTCCTCTGGAGCCTTAGAGTGAGTCACATTATCACCTGTGATACCAATCCTATTTCAGGCAGAGAGAATCCCTAACTGTATTTTCATTTCTCCCTTTTCTACTCGTGTGATATGGAGTATGGATAGAAGTACTTCTGCCTCTGTGAAGGGACAGATGTAACAACCTAGTGGATGTATTTCCTCTTGTTAGTCTCTTTTAGTCAGACCTCAAAGGCTGTTTTGTAGCTCTTCCTGGTTGATGGGATAGCTGTTCCTTCTTTCTCCTGCTATTTGGAATATAACTGAACAGTGACATCTAACACACTGAAGTCTATGTGTCTGCTTCTAGAATGTGAAGAGGGTGAAGATGGAGGAGTAAGTGATCACTCCTTAAATGCTCGTTCTTAAGATACAAAGTTGTGATTGGAGTAGATGGAACACAACAAGTGACTACCCACTCAAGTCAGCCCTTTGAGTATTGTATTCAAATACCATTTTACAACTTAGGAATTATTTCACATTCTCGCTTAATAGTCACAACAGCTTTCTTAGATGGGTACTATTGCTTGCCACTCTCTTAAGAAACTGAGACTTAAAAAGTTGCTTGTCCAGGTCACATGGCCATTGGCCTGAGTTGCACTTTGAACCCTAGACCTCAGACTCCAAATCCTGGACTCTTCCGTTATGTCGTCCTACTCCTTGTTATCATGGTAGCAGAGTGTACGAGATTCTCAAAAATCATCACATCCATTGGCTTATTACTGTCTCTTCAAAAAGAAAGTTCAGGCATATAATTTTTGGCTACTTTCCCAATGGATTTTCATCTGAGATTGTATGGACAAAACTCATTTCATAAATAATGTAAAAATATAAGCTCATTTATTTTTCTCATTTTTTTATAAATTAGCCTCCTTTCTTCATGTCACATCTGATAAATCACAGAAGTTTTCAACGTTTATTTATTTTTGGGACAGAGAGAGACAGAGCATGAACGGGGGAGGGGCAGAGAGAGAGGGAGACACAGAATCGGAAACAGGCTCCAGGCTCTGAGCCATCAGCCCAGAGTCCGACGCGGGGCTCGAACTCATGGACCGTGAGATCGTGACCTGGCTGAAGTCGGAAGCTTAACCGACTGCGCCACCCAGGCGCCCCAATCACAGAAGTTTTCTTTTGTCAGATTGCAAGATAATCTAGCTTTTAGTTATTTTAACAGACTGACTCTACCATATGGCATGCTTTGGCATTTCTCTTTTGATAGGCACACTACAATTTCAAATAATTTACTGGAATTTCTACCATTATCTTCTAGGTTAACATTAGCAGAATACCATGAACAAGAAGAAATCTTCAAACTCAGATTAGGTCATCTTAAAAAGGTAAGTATAATGAGCAAAATATGTCTGGAGAAATCAGTTTACATGTCGTATTAAAGCAAATGTCATAGTTGGACATACCTGCTAAAATCTGGAGTAGTTCTTCTCCCTATTATATCCTGTATTCCACCGTGAATGGTGGAATTCATGTCTTTGAATTTTTGAGTCAACTCCAGCCACCCAATGAGAGCACTTTTTTCAGCCAGTGATATACCAATAGATAACTCTGCATATCTCATAAAGTTTCATAAGTAGTTATCCTTAGGTAAAAGTTAAATATTCAGTATGAGCAGGTGGTTCAGATTTGATCTGAAAGCTCTTAATATTTTAAACTTGTACCAACCACACAAAGTCACCTACATAAAAATAGGTATTGATGATGTTCACAGAGGCATCTTAAATATGGATTGCCCATCTCCTAAATTCAACAGCCCATACATTTTTGGTAGATACTACTTATGGGGATGATGGTCAGTAAGCATTTAATAAACTGCCTTTGGTGTGTGTTTTTCCAACTGGGTTCTCAGATCTTGTTAAATCAGTGGAATTTAAGGCACCAAACATAATCCATACTTACAGAGCAAAACCAGATACAGAACCTGATTTTTGAAAAAAAAAAAAAAAAAAAAAGGAAAAAGGAAAAAAAAGATTGTATGTCTGTATATAAATACAGAGAACATTTCTGAAAATTTACACAGGATACTTAACAGTAGTTACATCTGGGGAATGGGCATGGAGACGAGAGGGCAGGGCAGCAAGAGGGCTTTTTTCTTACTTGTACTCCTTTGTACGGTTTGAATTTTATTTATTATTTACTGTGATCTTGCTTTTTATGATTAAAATTCTAGTACTTAAAAAAAAATCCTTTTTAATGTGGAAGAAACATTTTCCTTTAGTTTTTTGAAAGAAAAATGTCTGTTTTTGAAATGAGATTCCTAAAGGGTAGTTTCCTGTGTTCTGAGCTTTTTCTTTCCTTTTCACTTTAGGAGGAAGCAGAGATCCAGGCAGAGCTGGAAAGGCTAGAAAGGGTTAGAAATCTACATATCAGGGAACTAAAAAGGATACATAATGAAGATAATTCACAGTAAGCAACTTGGGGGTATGTTGGGTTGGAGATTGCTAAACAGTTTCTGACATGAATTGAATGGTCTAGAATGATGGTTCTGCTTAATATAAATTGGGTATATGATTCCATGGTGTTTTTAGCTCTATTGCAGGGTGTAATACAGGTTTGTGAACACAACTATGGCTTGCTTTAATTTAAATATATATAGGGGTGCCTGGGTGACTCAGTCGGTTGAGCATCCGACTTCGGCTCAGGTCATGATCTCATGGTTTGTGAGTTCGAGCCCCATATCGGGCTCTGTGCTGACAGCTCAGAGCCTGGAGCTTGCTTCGGATTCTGTGTCTCCACCTCTCTCTCTGACCCTGCCCTACTTGCGCACACTCTCTCTCTCTCTCTCTCTCAAAAAATAAACATTAAGGGGCTCCTGGGTGGCTCAGTCAGTTAAGCATCCGGCTTCGGCTCAGGTCATGATCTCACCGTCTGTGAGTTCGAGCCCCGTGTTGGGCTCTGTGCTGACAGCTCAGAGCCTGGAGCCTGCTTCGGATTCTGTGTCTCCCTCTCTCTCTGACCCTCCCCCATTCATGCTCGCTCTCTCTCTCTCTCTCTCTCTCTCTGTCTAAAAAAAATAAATAAATGTTAAAAAAAACTAAAAAAGAAAAACATTAAAAAAATAAATAAATATAGATAGATTTATATGTTAAATATGTATACATGTATTCTAGCATTTTCACACAAATAGAGGTCACTAAACAATATAGCTTTGCAGTTGTAGGTGGTTGGGATACTCTGTGTTTTCAGATTCCTGCAGAGCCCTGCTAAATGGAAGCACCGGTGACAGTGTCATGGCATGGAAGGGTTCCTGGGTTGGGATGGCATGGTTTTAGAATGACCTTTAAGGGCCCTTTGGGTGCTGAGATTTTAAACAAGACTGTCTTAGGTTTAGGTATTAATTGTAGATGAATGCCCACCTTTGTTTATAAGTCATTTAAAGGATTGAAACTGAAAAGTAGATTGATATGGGAAATACCTTTAGTTTGTAATCTTTTCTTTTTAAAATTTTTCTGACTCTGAAACATGATTTTTTTGGACATAGCTATTGCTTGTGTATTTTTGTTTGGCCAGTGTGAGCCATGGATTTTTCTTTCTGGGAGGTGGCAGGCCACAGCAGTTACCGTGATCCAGCACTCTGTATGTGTCAGGCATAGAGCTGTCTTCATGAGAGCCCAACAAAATTACGTTGACTTGACCAGGGACCCACAGCTGTGCGACTAAACAAAGAGCCGAACTTGCTGTGGAACGCCAGAGCCGACCGCCACGCAGCAGTGGCACCCCTCTGCAGGCATGCCACTGTCTCAAAATTAAAATAGTTTTCCCGGATTAACAGTGGGGCAGTTTAAGATCAGGAACTAGGTAGAAATAGTTTTAAAGTTATTTTTGCCAGAATCTCTCTTGTCTTTGTCTTATTGTTAGAAAACAACACAAGGTGGAATCCTGTGTGGCAGAAACAGTTATATCATGAGACTGTCTCAAAGAGGGAAAATAAATGTACATAGGACGAACATGTGATTTACTTTATAATCAGATCTGTTTTTAAGGCTATGTAAAATATCTTGGGAGTTTTATTGTGTTAGTTTTGGAATGGTGGAAACATGTGGCTTTTGAATACTTTGGAGGAACTGTGTAGCGCACTTTGGAAATCCCTGATCTAGTGTAGTCTATAGTCCCCTCACTTCATAGCAAGGCAGACAGGGAGGAAGGTCAACACACGTCACAGGTCCAGTTGTGACTGTGCTGAGGCTGGCATGTATACCTTACGGCTCTATAGCCAGTGCCATCCTTGTATTTATGTAGTCTCTTTGAACTATGTAACTTATTTCATGTTTACAATTAGCTATATTGGTGGTGTTACCAAACTGTCAGTAGCAGCTATAATCATGTGCATAGCATGTTGGATATTCTGGGAATTTTGCTAGTATGGAAGATTGTGTAGTCCTTGACCTCAGGATGTTCTGTATTCCCTGTTTCCACAGATTTAAAGATCATCCAACGCTAAATGACAGATATTTGTTGTTACATCTTTTGGGTAGAGGAGGTTTCAGTGAAGTTTACAAGGTAAGTGTAAGAAACTGGATACAAAGACTAAGATTAAATTATTGGTTATTACTGACTTGGAGAACATTAAGAATAGTAATAATTGTGAATTGAGATCTTTTGGTTGAAACTCAAAAGCTTACTAAGGCAGGATATAGTATTTTGCCCTGTTCTCAAGTTTGGAAAATTAAAAAAAAAAAATAAAACAGGAAGGAAAAACAGCATTGTTTCTCAGTAGTGAAATTATGGTGACTTATATTCTGTTTCTGTACTTCCCTGCCTCACTTACATTTGTTAGAAGTAAGTATGGGGGTGGGGCTCCTGGGTGGCTCAGTCAGTTAAGCGTCCGACTTCGGCTTAGGTCATGATCTCACATTTCATGAGTTCAAGCCCCGCATCGGGCTCTGTGCTGACAGCTCAGAGCCTGGAGCCTGCTTCAAATTCTGTGTGTCCCTCTCTCTCTCTCTCTCTGCCCCTCCCCTGCTCATGCTCTGTCTCTCTCAAAAATAAACATTAAAAAAAAAAATTTTTTTTAAAGAAATACATTTGTGTTACTTTTATTCTTATGATTTTTTTAAATAGATGCCTTAAAGTTCATTCTTATTTGAAAACCTGCTTCTTATTTTTAAAAAGTTCTCATCTTGGGTGCCTGGGTAGCTCAGTCCGTTAAGCATCTGACCTAGGCTCAGGTCATGATGTCACGGTTTGTGAGTTTGAGCCCTGCGTTGGGCTTTGTGCTGACAGCTCAGAGGAAAATAAGTCGCAGGGAAATTTGATATTGTTCCTGCCTACTTTTCCTGTTCGAGAATAATCATAACTACGGTCTTAAAGCACACAGACTCATTCCAAAAAAAATCTTTCTATCATCAGTACATATTTGGTTTTTCTAACCTGAAGCTATAATCAGATTTCTACTATGATTTAAAGGGGCTTACTTTTCTCAAGTCTACTTCAAATATATAGGTGCCAAGATATTTGTGTTTACTCTCCAGCCACGCTACAGTGTTTTGACCTTCTTCTCAACATCTTTATATCTGTAGGCAGCAGGAGAGCGATAAATTCACAGAGGGAAGAGATAGAAAGACAACGGAAAATGTTAGCAAAGTGAAACCCCCTGCCATGGGACAGGCTCCCCTCCGCAAACTAATGAGCAGAAACAGCTGAAAAGCAAGACCAACGGATGAAAATGTAAACGAGCATGTTCTTTTATTAATAAACTCTGTGAGATACCACGGGTCTTCCCCAAAATACAAATGCCCTGTGGAGTGCCACTGGAAAAAAGGATAAATTACGGGATTTCTAGGGCGAAGCTTTTAGTTACCACACGCTGGTGAATTTGCTCACAACTTCATAAAACCACGCAAAATTCATTCATTTTCTTAAATATCTTATTTGGCATTTTCTTTCTTTTGTTGGGGTGGTTGGGTGTATTTTGGGGTTTGTTTTCAGTTTTATTTAGATACAACTGACATATAACATTGTATCAGTTTTGGGTACAACGTATCGACGAGATATGGTAGATATTATAAAATGATTCTATAATAAGTTTAGTTAACATCCCCACAAAGTTACAATTTTTTTCTTATGAGAATTTTATGATCTACTCAGGCACCTTTCACATATACAATACAGTATTATTAACTTTAGACGCCCATGCTATGTATAAGGAAGGTCACAGTTTCTTTATCCATTTATCCATTGGTGGACACTTAGGGTTTTTTTTCATGTCTTAACTGTTGTGAATAATACTGCAGTGAAGATGGGGGTGTATAGGTCTTTTTGAGAGAGTGATTTCATTTTGGATAAATATCCGAGGTGAAATTGCTAAGTCAGATAAGTTCTTCTATTTTTTTAATTTTTTGAAATAATGTCGTTGTTTTTTTCATAACGGATGCCAATTTACATTCCTGCCAGCACTGCACAAGAGTTCCCTTTTTTCTCTACATCCTCACCACCACTTGTTATTTCTTCTTTAATTATTATTTAGGTATTTTCAAGTGAGCTGGGACAAATAAGGTCACTTGATCGCCATGGTTCGCCAATTTCACAACAAATGGTATCAGCATGGTGGTCAAATGATAGAGTTGTTTATGTGGTTCTGCTGCGGTACATTGGCATCATCTGATTACCTGGCTGTTCTTTGAGGTAAAACGCTCAGGCTGGAGAATGCTCGGTCTAAAGAGCATTTGGTTAACAACAGAAACTGTAGGAGCAAGCTGAGAAAAAATAGGTATTATTTTAGAAAGACATTTTGCCAATTGCCAATTCCTGACATCGTATTTTTTCCTGTTCTGTGGACCTGTGGGAAACACCAATATTTTCAAGTTGCAGTGTAGTCACATAGCTGCCATAGGGAGTGGGATAGCATAGCCTTAGTATATAGATGCTTTTTTTCACCCCTGCCCTGTGTCAGATTTCCCTAATCATCATCACATTCTTTTTTTCTTTAGTTTTTTTAATGTTTAATTTGAAAGAGAGAGACCAAGTGTGAGCGGGAGGGGTAGCCAGAGAGGGAGACACAGAATTCAGGGCAGGCACTCCAGGCGCCCTGGAGCTGTCAGCACAGAGGCCTGACGGGGCTCAAAGCCATGAACCGTGAGATCGCGTGATCGAGCCAAAGTCGATGCTTAACTGACTCAGCCAATCCGGGCTTCCCCCTGGTCATCCCATTTTGACCACTAATCTTCTGCCTAGGCAGGAGTTGAGCTTTTTTCTATACTGGGCCATGGTAAATACTTTTAGGCTTTGTAGGCAGGCTGGTCTCTAATGGCATCTACTCTGCACTGCTGACTGTTGTAGCTCTGTTGTAGTAATGAAATGAATGGGTGTGGCTATGTTCCAATAAGACTTGATTTAAAAAACAGACTGTGAGGTGAATGGTCCATGGGTCACTTAAGCAGGAACTGCCAAACAGAATTGACATGGGAAATAAAACCTATATATTGTTTACCATTTAAAATATTTCTTATAATACATTTAATATGAAGACATTCAAGACTATTCATTCTCATTCTCCAAGAAGATTTCACATAAAAAAGGGAAAGAGGGCTTCGCCTGGGTGGCTCAGTCTGTTGAGCCAGTCCGGACCAGGCCAGGGTCATGATCTTGCGGTTTGTGGGTTTGACCCCATGTTAGCTCTGTGCTGACTGAATGGGAGCCTAAGCCGATTCTGTGTGTGTGTGTTCTCTCTCTCTCTTCAAAATAAATAAACATTAGTGCTTGGGTGGTTTAGTCAGTTGAGCATCCTACTGCTGCCTCTGGTCAAGATCTCATGGTTCCTGGGTTGGAGTTCTACATATGCCGGGCTCTGTGCTGACATCAGAGCCTGAGCCTGCCTCTTCAGATTTTGTGTCCCCCTCCCACTTCCCCCACCCTGCTTGTGCTTTGTCTCTCTTTGTCTTTTCAAAAATGAATAAACATAAAAATTAAAAAAAATAATAATAAATAAACATTAAAAAATTAAAAAAAAAAGGCAGGGGAAAGATCTATAGATAGTAGTAGTAAGCGGCAATCACTGAAGAATTGATGGTAGCCAGAAGTCATTCCTGAAATTGATGTTTGAAATTTAAAGTACATTTCATAAAAACATAACCAGTATTGTAATCTGTATATCTGTAGTGGTTTCATTGGTTTTTTTCAAGGAAAAGAAATTTTGCAGTTGTCATTGTGGGGAGTCTTCAGTTGAAAATAGGGTTTTAGGTCTAAAGATAGAATAAAAAAGATAATGATATTGTATAATTTATTGAAGAATATGTCTTTTTCCTTTATTTTGCCTCAGTTCTCAAAAAAAATTAACTCAATCCACCAAATATAATAGTGTGTGTACTGCACTATTGTTTAAGGTCCATGACATCCCATTCCAGTGAGAAAAAAAGATGACACCATTCCTTACTCCATACATACTTGGTGTTTTGGGGAGCCTTTCTGGACATTCATTTAGTAAGTTTATAAAATGCATATTGTACAATTGGCCTTGGTCTGACATCAGGGATACAGAGAGCTAAAGGATACAGCCCTAGCCTTAGGGAGCTTACAGTTTATTTAGGGAAATGAACAGTAAATAAAACTAATGATTTCATTGGAGGATAGTGATAATAGTATACACAGAATAAAAAACATTCATTCTTATAACTAAATGTTTCCTCTACTAAATATTTTAAAACTAGATTTTAAATTTAAAATATTTTCAGAAAGTCCACAAGTAGGAACCCAGATTGAAGATTCTCTGGGCAAATGTTGTACACATCAGTCTGATCATTGTCTTTTGTGACCACCCAGGTTTATTTTGTGAAGAAAGACTGTCCTCACAGTATTAATATTGAAATTATTTAAATGCTAATGCATAAGACTATTGGCTTAGTAGTGTAATAAAGAAGGCATAGGCTGCTTCCTTGCCATAGAACAATAACTAGAACTCAGCTAGCCAGTAGTGTGTCAGTAAGCAGTTGCCATCTGCCTAAAAATCCAAGCTGGAAGGCCTTTAGTCCAGTTTTTAATTAAAGTATTCAACTTGGTTTCATTCATTTGGCCAGAAGCCAAAAAACAGTCCTCTGGAGCCTTAGAGTGAGTCACATTATCACCCAGATACTAATCCTATTTCAGGCAGAGAGAATCCCTAACTTCAGACATTTTCTTTTTCTCCCTTTTCACTGCAGATATGGGAGGATAGAAGTACTTCTGCCTCTGTGAAAGGACAGATGTAACAACCTAGTGGATGTATTTCCTTGTTGGTTCTCTTTAGTCAGACCTCAAAGGCTGTTTTGTAGCTCTTCCTGGTTGATGGAGAAGGTTCCTTCTTTTCTCTGCTATTTGAATATAACTGTGAACACATCTAACACACTGAAGTCTATGTGTGTCTGCTTCTAGAATGTGAAGAGGTGAAGAGCTGAGGAGTAAGGATCACCCTTAAATGCTCGTTCTTAAGATACAAAGTTGTGATTTAGATGGGAACACAACAAGTGACTACCCACTCAAGTCAGCCCTTGAGTATTGTAAATACCATTTTACAACTTAGGAATTAT